GAATGGATTTTATAACATTTAATTCAGGCTTACAGGCACATCTGCTGTTCTTGGAAAGAGTTGGCAGATATGTGGATCCGGGATGTTCAATAGGTGCATTTTATGACAACTCTTAAGAGGTTTCAGTAAATTCACTCAACAAGTAATTACTTCAAGAAACTGAATAGTTATGAATAGACAAAATGCATATATGTGTTTAAAAGGTAGAAAAAAGAGTAAAACTAAGCTATGAACTCTCCCATGAGGGGCAGCTCATCCAGTGATGCTCCACAGGAAACTTTACTGGGACCTGCAGAGCCCAACACTTTCATAAATGATCTGGTAGGAGCGTGAGTAAAGTAGCAAGGTTGATGATGGTGCAACTTTACTCAGGACAGACAGGAGAAAGGCAGTTTCTGAAGACTGGAAGGAAGACTTTATATTTACATTTTGGAAAAAAAACAGGCAGATAAAACTCAATGCAAGTAAACATGAGGCAGTGTATATGGGAAAAATCAGTCCTAGCATCGTGTATAAAGAGTTGGGCCGAGTTTATCATTGCTACTCAGGAAGGAGATTTTGGGATAATGACAGATTGTTGCATTGTGTGGGACTGGATGCTGGGCAGTCATCAAGACTGCAAACCTCTTTTCTGGAGTTCTTAGGAAAGGGACAGTGAACATCAAGATCCTTCTGTATCAATCCATGGCTTGGCCACAACTTGAACACTATTAATGTAGTTGCAGTTCTTTTATGTTTAAGGGTGAGGGAATGGTTAGGGAAAGGGTTTCTTTTGTCCTAGGAAAAGTCACAATTTTCCCAGAAAAAACTGGGTAAGAGGAATAATCAAGGATGTAAAATGGCTGCCAAAAATAAAAAGAAGAAGAAGAAAAAAGGCTGCTTAGGCTAGGAGAAGCAGAGTTACTGGGGACAGGGTCAAACAAGAAGTTTCTTCTTCTAAGTGGTGATAGCCCTATGGAACCTGCTGTCAGAAGTTGCTGCAGATGCTGGTACTGTGGATGAGAAACTGGTGAAAACACTTGACAGGAAGATCTGTGGAAGGGTACTACCTAAAGAATTCATGGAAAGCTCGTGTGACTCACCAGCTGAAAATAGTTGGTGTGGGAAAGCACCCAGGAGAAGCATGCTCGCCCTGCTCCTATTCTTCCTTGGACAGCTGCTTTTGATCAGGGCTGCAGGGAGAGAGCAGGGCTGGGTGGGCCCTGGGAGGGGGCTGGGGGGCTGCCAGCAGGAATGCAGGAGCTACGTGCCGTGCTAACCTGGGCAGCAGCACCAGGGCCCAGCTGGCTCTGGCTGAGCCCCCTCGGGGGCAGCCCCAGCCCCAGAGAGCTCACCCAGGGCTGGCACCCACCAGCCTGGGCTGGGTTTCCTGCTGTCATCACTGGGTGTGCCCAGCTCTCAGCTGGCTGATATAAAACATTGCTACTCCTCACTGCTATTTGCTGCCTGGGCATTCCCATCCAGCGGGCATGGTCATGCACCAATTATTCTGGTGGAGTCTAGAAATATAAAGATGTTAAATTCTCAAAGGAGGAGAAGTATTCCAGCTTTAACTCTCGGTTTGTTTCCATTTTCCATTTATTCATTTCATAGATCTAATGATTTTTTTTGCATGTCAGCTCTAGTACATTTACATTGGGGTCTGAAAATCATTAGGCTGGGGTTTTTTTGTTAATGGATCTCTGTCAGCAATAGTAAATATTTGCAGCCAGAACTGATGCTATATATAAGAATAGATTCCAGTGTATTCTCTTTTTAATTGTGATGGCTTTGAAGATCTAACAGCACTGAAAATTAGCAAATAACTATTTTTATCCCTGGAGTCAGCAGTTCTGACTCAGTGTCCATTAAGGAAATGAATTTTAAATAACAGGATTCTTAAAAATTATTGTCACTCATTATCTTAACTACACTTAAAAAGGAATGGCATCTATTATAGAAATGAAAATATTCTATTGGTGTAATTACAAACTAATGAAGACCGTTAGAAAGTAATTATGTTAATTAATATCATTGCACATTTAATCCCGGGATGATTCCCAAGGTCTCCAGCTGGGGGCACTGGGCAAACACGGAAACCTGGCAATGACCAGCGTGAGTGAAGCTTGCACCTAGACAAGAACTGTGCTGGAGGGGAGGAGGCAGGGAAACCAAAACCACCAAGGAAAATGGATGTGAGGTACAGTCATCACCCTGGATTTGAGAATTTCCTAAGATGAAGTAGATTTTACTTTCAAAACTCTTTTGCTAGTGACAAACGGTTGTATGCTTTTCATTACTCATAAATTATCCAGATTCTTTAGCAAAGCTATCCTTTTAATCAATAACTTCCAATTCTAATGGACCCAGATAGAAAAGTTATTGTAAATTTCAATTTGTTGCCATTCAGTTTCATTAAACATTTTCAGCCTTGTATAAATCATTGTCTCTACCTACCTTTAATATTGCTATTTATTCATTTATATCAGGGAAAGAGGTAGAAAAGAAACAGAAGATGCTCCTTGTCAAAGTTCAGTGTGAAGCCCAGCATGCTTTGAGGTCTGCATGGGCCTGGAGAGAGAGATTTAGCATCTGGAACAAGACCTGAGGAGAAGATGTGGCATATAATTTCTCGAGGAATACCAACTATGCTATTAGGAATATGTCAGAGACCAATGATGGTTTCATGCTTTCAACTCATACCATTAAAAAAATTACAAAATACCAGTTCAGGAAATCATAGCCCTAATTTTGTTGGTAAGGTTCTCTAAACCAGGGCAGGCAGGTGATTTTTAAGTTAGCCAATTTAGTGTTGAACTGGGTACTCAAAAGCAGAGTTTGACAGCAGCTATAGGAGAATGCATGAAAGGGTGAATGTACTTATGGGGACTGCACAACTGTAAATGGATGGACCAATAAGGAAAGTAAATATTCAACATTGCCAAGCTCAGAGTAGCCTAGATCTTCCCTCCAGATGATATTTTTAACTGGATTTTGCAATAGAGCAATGGATTTCCTGATCCCTGGAGCTCCTGGCCTTCTATCTGGCCTCTGTGTTACAAGTTATGACTGCTTGCAATGGATTGAAGCCAAAAGTTGTGTCCACATCACCGGCTGTCAAAACACAGGGACTTCTGTCTGGGTGTGTAGATACTCAGTTTTGGAAAAGCAGGAGAGAACATTTTGTTCATGTTTCTCCCCAGACACACCAATACACAGACACAGAGAAAAAACCAAAGCCCTAATCATGCCATACTTCCTTAGTGTCTTCCATGTAATTGTAGAAAACAATCTAGAAATGTTAAGGCTTCAGAGTAGCAAAAGCATTAAATTTATTAGGGAACCAGAAAGTTGAAATAACTATCAGGTGGTTGGTGGTTCCTAACCTTTCCTATCAGGTTAGCAAATATTTAGGAGTTCTATTTTCCAGTCCTTTAATCTAAGCTCTAAGCCACGAATAAGAAGTTGGCCTGGAATTCACAATCAACCTTGCAACAACAAAATTTTGTTTACACCTCGACAAGCAGTGAACAGTACCAGTTTCACCTTATAAGATGCTCATTGTTGCAAACCCATAAAGAGTGTTTGCTTTTTAATATCTCAGTGTTGTTTCAAGAGAATGAAGCTGCTCTTGGACTTTGACACCCAGAATGAATTAAATGACACGTGAATAAATATATATTAATTCTTTTTTATTAAAGTATCAAAACAAACTTGAGGATAGAAAACAAACTGCTTTTTAATGCATTTTAAGGGTTCTCCTGAATAAAGTTTACTTTGAGAAAACTCATGCAACATACTGTGTGGCTGTTCAAACACTCTTTTCCTGGGCACAGTCAAGTGACCCTGAGTACCATCATTTCCAGAGCAGCGTGCAGGAGCACGCACACACACACACACACACACACAGAAGGAATACAGAGCAGCTATGACTGCACATGTAAAGAAATAAAAATAGATTCTCTTCTGACAATAGTAGTGGTACCATATTAACATTTGGCATGCCGAGTAAATAAGAGCAAGCAACAAAAGCATGACGCCTGCGTCACCGGTGATATGGTTAAAGGAACCATACAAATTCCCTAAGGGAGACACATGAATTCTGTCATTACAGTCTCTGTGGTAACACTTTATAACGAATCATGAGACAAACAGCCCTGTCTGCTGGTATTTGAGAGGCAAAAAGCAAAGGCAAGGTGTACGAAACTGGGGCGATGCCTCGGTTTTGTATTTCCCCATTACAGAAGTCAAATAATGAACATACTTTGACAAGTTTATTGTACACACTCCGTGTAGATCTGTTGTCTGGTAAACAGCTGGCCCAATTACATGTAGAACTTGCCCTTTAAACCAGAGAAGTTGCCACAGAGGCTCCAAACTCTGCTCACAGGACATGAGAAAACTCTCACTGAAGTCAATAGAACCTCCTTCCAATATACAGCAAGATCATGGATTCTTAAGACAGAATTGGACCTAGAATGTCATCTTTGTAATACATTCACTGTTCAGATACATGAAGCACATACCCTTAACATGTGATACAGGACATTACAATACATCCAGATCTTAGGAAATGGTACTAAGTAGTTCTGTTGCAGAATATAACAATCATATGAGGACCAGGTACAACATGTGATGGACTTATTCGAGACCTGCAGGGTAAGAAGCTCATGGCTGAGGTATCTTCAAGTTTAGCCTTTAGAACAAACACACAATTTCAACACTGCAGAACTGGTGTAAAATATTATGCACTGTAAGCTCCACTTGTATTTTGCTTTGTTTAGATTGTGGCATTGAACAGTCAGACACCACTGGTAGAGGTATAAAATTTTGAAAGGCATATTATCTGCACCCAATCATTCAGGACACTCAGTGCCTCATCTTCAAAAAAGATGAAGGATAAGTGTTTTTAATAGTGGTGTCTCAAGTACAACTGGTGAAGTTTAGGAATATATAATATTAAACACCAAGAGATAAAAGACAGCCCAACACTTGTGTTTTCAGTTTTATCTTGCTCGCAGTATTTATTAGCTCTACTCATTATGATATTAGTGATAAATAAGGATAATACTTTCTTTTACAAAAAAAAAATGTAAGGGTATATTTTATAGAAATAAACAATCTGAGAATTTCACAGAAACATCAGAATTCCAACACTCATAGCTCCAACTGTTTTGTCCAGCAGCTCTTCTACCAGTTCAAAAACATCCATGGTTAGTATTTAATAAAAAATTAAACAATTATTCACTACATCAAAACTCTTGCCTCCTTTAGATTCTAAATAACACTTTAGATTGACTGTAGTTGCCACTCAAATGTAAAACAAAAGTAGCTACAATCATAACTTTTCCCTCTGAGTCACCTGGCAAAAGGAAGTAATCCTGACCAGGATGGAAAAATCTTTGCCAAGCTCTTATGCCTGTAAGAGCTATCTGCATGAGCAGACCCACTGACATCCATGGAACCTCTTCTGTGACTGAGGGGTAATAGCATGAATTAAGGCTTATAGGATTAGATCCTAGATGAATTTTAAAAAATATTTATTTTTTTCAAGGCTCAGGAGTCTGGGATTCACTCCTGCATTTCTTTACTTGAGCAAAACCTCTATCAATACCCCATGCACAGTTAGTTCCTTCTTTCCAATTCAGTGGGCTCAAGTCACCAAGTCAGTAAGTGACGGTACAAGCTGCTCTTCAGCAATTCAAGGAAAAATTGAATTGTCCCCAGGGGGTAGTATCTGGAGTGATAGCTCATAAAATACAAGCTAGGCTACCTAGATGTTCTGCAAGGAACTTTTCTTTGTCACACTTACTAGACCCTTCAAATTCAGTCACTGAGATGAGTCACAGAAAAACGCACATGAGCGTCGTGAAAAATATGACAAAGCTTGGTTGGAACTACAGGGGTTTTTGTGTGTGTGTGTGTGTGTTAGGTTAGAATGCAACATTACACATCAGTACATTCTGCCAGAAACCATCCTCCTGGAAATTCAAAAGTACTCAGTCCTCTTTCCCCACCAGCAACAAGGAAGAGCAGTGTCCATCCAGCAGAGCTGTCTGTACCCCGTGCATGGCTGGAAGTCCTAGTGTTCTAGCACAAACCTGTGAGTGCACATACTGCATGCTAGCAGAGCTAAAACTTCAGAAGCTGTTGTCTGTAGCTCCTAGGAACAGCAAGTATGACAGGTGCAAACCCTACATTGGAGGCAGAAGGCTCCTCAGTTTGATTGAGACCAGATCTTCCAAGGGCAAGGATCGCTGTCAAGCCAAAATTATTCTTTCCACTCATGAGGGCAATCTGCCCTTCCTAAAGGCTCTTGACTAATAGAATCCTACACTTTATGTCAGACTCCCCCACGGATTCTGGTAGCTGTTAAAAACATTTTAAATATCTCCACGTTTGCCATATCACTTAACCTTGCAATGTGCCTTCTTTGATCTGTTGAATAAAAAGATTTCTTTCATCCTCAGGTGTCCTCCCGTTCTGTGCACGGACTATGCAGGTGGGCCTGTGCAGGTTGAGCATGTATATCAAATGCTGCTTCTCGTTCTTCAGCTCCTCAATCTGGGCTTTCAGCTCCGCATTGATCGTCTCCAGCTTCTCCGATTCCTAGCACAAAGCACGCACACAATTTGACACTCAGAAGTTCAAATAGTAAGTCATTGGGTTTTTTTTCTTATAGTTGTTGTATTTTATGGGTGGGAAAGGGTATGGCTGGCAGAGAAAGGAATCACATGTACTTAGTGCGCTGAAACGATGAAACTGTACATTCCCCTGTCAGTAATGGCCTGAAAACCAGATTGAGAGTTACCTCATTTGGCCTCTAGAGAATGTAATGGAAGTTGAAAAGCAAAATTCAAACTTGTATTCACTTACAGTGACAGATACCCAAAGCATTATTGCTATCTTCTGCAAAATTATTCTGAGCTTTTTGGGTCAAAAATTGACCCAAAATTATCTACGCTGCTTCTTAACTCCCCGGAGCATCAGCTCACATATCTATAAACCCATGTTAAGCTAGCAAAGTGCAAACACAGCTTTTTTCCCCTACCCCTAGATATAGGAATATACAGGCCTGTATACCTAGATACACAGGCTTGGTGCTACTGAAATACAGTTTTATATCACAGCACAGGAGGTGAAGATGTGCCTGGGCTCCTAGGACAGAGAATTCAAGCTTCCACACCACTCTGTTCATAAAGAAGTCAGAAATTACTTGTAGGTGAATATTTTATGAAACATGATCTTACTTCTTTTTGTATGCAGTGTACACATTCAAATTAACATTATCCCCATAGACAAGATTGGTCACTGAAACAGCAATCTCTTCTCACTCCTACCATGCTTTCACTTTATGCCAGTATCAACCAGGTTTGGATTTAATATATGGCATGTTTATTTTTCATAACTAATGTTTCTAAGGGTTTACAGAGTTTTGGGGGACACCTTTCTGACTTCCTACTATGACAATACCCTATGCTATCTGTTTGGATCCGGGCAGGATGACAGATTTGGAACAATTCAATCCAGTCACTTACTTTTTGCAAACATTCTGTTTTTTCCTTCTTTTTGTTTCGGCACTTTGCCGCGGCAATTTTATTCCTTTCCCTTCTTCTCTTTTTTCTTTCATCCTCTTCAGGAGAAAACTGTCCCACAAAAACAGATACACACAATGCATAAGATGCTGTAAACAGGAGAAAACTGTATTTTGATAACTTCTGGATTTTTAAAATCGACATGGAAAGTGCTGTCAGTGCTCACATCATGAGTTACACAAAAATGTGATTCTGACCTTGTAGAAGGGCAGGAACTTCATTAGAATTGTCAATAAAAACCTGACTGGAGGGGGGTTGTGTGTAATCTATATGATTGCTCATTAAAATCAGTGGTACTCAAAAAACTCACTGAATGTCTCCCCGGGCTCCCACACCTCTGTGTCTCCTCCATTTCCCAGGGAGGAAAAGGAGGAGGGGCACAGGGAGCACATGGAGGATGTGTCATGAGTGAGGCAGCCAGAAGTGAGTGAATTAAAGGCAGCACCAAAAAGGGCACACTGTCACACTTCCTTCTGTTTCCTGAGGAAACTCAGACCAAGGTGTAACTCTTTCCTCGACCAAAGCTATTTCTCCACTTTCAAAGAGCAATGTTTTTCATAGATAGTGTCATCTTTAAGCAAAAATCTAGTGTGGACATAGCAGGTCCATGCCTTAACCCCCACGGGTTCTGCTGGACTGTCCTCTGGCAAACAGAACTTCAGTAGTGACTTATTCCAAGTCCAGCCACCACTGGGCAGGGAAACCAGATTAGCACTTGCTCTAAGCACTGTAAAACATTGTCTGTAGTCCATAATTGAAAATCAAATATCCAACTATGAGAAATACCAGAGGGTTTGCCTGAAGCACCCAACAGAAAGCCAAGCAGCTGGCTTAAGAGGAAACAAGTATGGTACAGGGGGTTGTCTATAGTTAATACAGTTAGTGGTCTTGTGGCAAAACTCTGTTAGAGAATTAATCATTCACACCAAAATTCTGTTTAAAGAGCCTTACCTCTGTTTTCAGCATTGATGTTTCAATTGGCCTTTCAGAAACAGTCACTGTGTCCAAAGTGGAAGTCATCCTGTGGAACTGACGCTTGTTCTGAATGGCAAACCTCAGTTCCTCCTTCACCAGGGGGGTTAAATTTGTGAAATCATCAAACCCCAGTGACCCTGCAGGGGACAAAGTGGGAACAATTGCGGAGGCGCTGACTTCTAATGCAGATACCTGGCCTGAGTGTTGGACCATCATTTTGCTGAAAGAGAAAAAGAGATAATATTGATAGTCTTTCAACAACTTTAGAAAGGCAAACAACATCTCTTAGAGATATATTTCATACTGTGAATAATTCTGTAATTACATTGCTTCAGTCCCCATTCCTAGTCTATCCCAATCCCTCAAAAGAGACAAGCAGTTAAGAATTTGGAACTCAAAAATCCTTCAAATTTATGTTAAGTCAAAGTTAGTATTTAAAAGTAAGAATAGTATCAACACATGAGACACAATTTCTAGGTCTTTCTGAAACTTAGTATTTAAAAAATTGAGTGCAAGTATGTACACTGTTAAGTTTTAAACTGGTAGTGTGTGGCAAATGAGAATTGAGTGAATAGGAAGAGAAAGAAAATAAGAACAAAAATAAGAAAGCAAATAAGTAGTACTATTATTTAAAGCATAGTAGGAGAGTTAGAGTATCTTCATCTTCAGAGCTATATCACCACAAATTCCAGCTTCAAATGGACAGAACAAACCTTGTTCTCAGCTACACTTAGCTCAATGAGTTTCAGGTTCTTTTACCAGAAGCTGAAACTTGCAAACCACAACAGGATCTGTCACAAAGTTATCACACTCAATTTTACACACAGCTGTACATTTGGCTATAAACCCCTGGAAAATAGTTAACAATAAGAACTGACACAAAGGCAAAAGTCTCTACATGCTCTGTGGCTCCACAGCACAGGCTGAGTTGGAGGGATTGACTCATGAAAAATGTGAAGCCGTTTCTTTCATTCCTTTGCTCTTGTAAAATTCGAAACTGTCCTTATGTGCCCTCTACGAGAGGCTTGAAATTCTTAAATATTTATGGCTGGATCTTCTGCTGACATAAAACAGTGTGATTGAGGAGTCTTTAGGGGAATTATGTAAATGTAAACGTGTGGAGAAAGCTCATTTCTAGTGGATTTCTGAAGAAAATAAACCTATCCAACAGTGCTCTCTACTTTTCTCTTTTTAGTCATTCTTATTAGTTATTTTTAGCCAGTTTTGAAGGGAGAGAGGCCCCATGTGCTCTGTGAAAACTGGTGGCCCCACTGAGGGAGGAAGAGGCAAAACTCAGCAGTCAGTCAGCCAAACTCAGTGGGTTTGCTGATGCACACATCCCTGCAAGCCACAGCCCATCTCTCACCCAGCAGAGGTGAGATAAGAGGTCTGGAAGAAAACTGAGCACCTTTTGTGTATGGTCCAAGGGACAAAAGGTGCAAATCCACAGGAAAACAGATTGTAATACTTCCCTGGTTCACAAAGTGACTTGTGTTAAATTGGATTTTACTATGTTGGTTTTCCAGCTGTCTTTGGTGCAAAGATTTTTGGTTTTGTTGTTGTTGTTTTGGTGGTTTTTTTTTTAATAGTGGTATAGATAACTACAGTATGTAATTATCTACTCTGGATTACAACCACAATAATTACAGGAAAGTCAATTGTAATTAACTTGGTGCAGGTAAGCAAACAGCTGCCTCAGGGTAGCAGTGTGGGTAAGCTAAATTTCCACATGGTCAATCCAGAACTGCACAGTTCCTCGTACGTTACTTCTGGAACCCAGCAAGAAATGTTTGGGGTCATGTGCCTTGAGAAGAAGATAGAATTTGCTCAGAGATATCTAAAAATACACTGTAGATCCACACTGGTGCAAATGAGAATAGAACCCGGTTCATGGCTGTGAGGCAAACACAAAAATCACAGGAGTGTGAATTGCCTGTTGCTGGAAAATATCAGGTCCAACTGCAGTCTTCCTCACTTCTTCCTCTCTCAGTGACCACAGAAGAGCTGAACATTTCCCAGAGTCTCAGGGTGAAATCCTGACCCCAGGGAAATCAAAAGGACTTTTTCTGTTGACCTCAATGGGCCAGGATTTCACCCGTAGTTATTCAAGATGGGGAAATTATTTGGAACAATTTGTTATTCAGAAAGACCTTGGGAAATTTATGTAATTCTCTTCAGAAAGCCCCTGCTCATGAGTCACATTTAAAGTACTGATACAGTTTAATCCTATAATCTCAGAAAGCTAGCAGTTACTCTTTTCCAGCAAGTCAGAAATGGCCCTATTAATTTCCAGATGAAGTCCTCCCAGTATTATTTACCGTTTACCAACATTCAACCATACAACTAATTTAAACAGGCTAATTCCAGATGACACTGAACCCCTCACTGCCAGCAGAAATTTCAGTTATTTTCACTGACTCAGTGTCCTTGAATGCTGATGATGGCTTCGTTCAACAAAGTTAATTCTGTATAATTCAATCCAACCAGGATTCTTAAAGTAGCAGTAAAACTGTTTTTCCAGCTTCCAAGATAATTAGTTGGGCTAATAATTTTCAAGCTCTGCTGGTTTATTCAATTATTTTTCAGTTTAGGTGAACTTTTAATTAAGGTCAGCAGCAGCGCCAGAGGAAACCAAGAATGTGCCTGAGAAATTGTGTTAATTGTGGATTTCTAGTGGTTAGTGCTAAGTGCACCACAAACACCACCAAACCCTACTGCAATGGCTTCAGGTCCTCTCACCCTCCTGTCACTAGTGTGTAACAGAGGAGTGGCCAGGTGCCCAGAGCAGAGAAAGTGTCCTCGACCAAAGGAGCTGGCTGCTCTCCTGCCCAGACAGCTCACTGCCCTCCCAACCATCCTGAAATGCAACTCTAATTGCTCCAACAAGCTAGATGTTTGGCAGTTTCTGAGGAACAAATCTGCTTTCAGAAATGTTTTACAAATAGGAAAACTAGATTTCACTATTAAAAAAAAAAATGCAACAAGTTGCCCTTTCTTGTCCCAATTTTTGTGCAATTTGTCCCTTTGTACCAAAGCCATGCAGAACACTATCTCATTTCCTCTGGGTTTGGGAAGGCTGGGGAAGCAGTAGGAATAAGAGTATCAAGCCTTAGAGCGTGATTCCGTGGTGGCCTCTCTGCTACAATCTCTGTTTACTGTGTCAGACCACGCACATGTCCTGCAGTTGCTGCCACTGGAGGTGCTGAACACTTCTGAGCCCTGCCCTGCTCCCGGCACAGCTTGTTCCCGGGCTCGGTTAATGCTTCATTGCTTTAGCCTCACTTCTGGAATTCTCAACAGTTTTACCCTCCCTATTCAGGTAGGTTCAAACAACTCCATTCATTCGTTCTCCCCCTGCTTTTTGTTTGTTGTTTTGAAGATGATTCTTTTCATCTACAATGAGCTTTTACATCTCCTCTGCCAAGATTTTAAAATCTGAACAGGCTTCCTAGCTGTGCTCCTCCATTATTTAAGGATATGCTTGTTTAATTTCAATATTGAAAGTGACTACTTTTAGTTTTTTTCTTGCTTAACAGCAGATGGCTGACTGTGCTTCTTGGTTTTATTTCTTCATACGAATTCCTTTTCCTCTGGTGCTGATGCAATAAACCTTGATAACCACTGAGGTTAATCTTAAACAGCATTAAGAGCAATTACAGTTCACAACCTCTGTGCACGCTAGTTGACCTTAAGCTTTCTGACATCCCACATCGCTCCCGAGGCATTTTCTCGGCTGCCTTTCAGTTTCTCAAGCGCTGTTACTAGGAGGAAAATCGATTTCCAACAGGAAACCCGTTCTCTGAAAGAAGCTGTCCGTTGTGTCGCGCCTGATTTGCTTAGGTAACAGTTCAGCAACTGATCTACCCCACGCCAAGGGGGGACACCGGCGCCGAAAGGAGAGCGGATATCCCCGGCTGTCACGACAAGTTCCCGCTCGGTTTACGGGAATATCAGAGACAACTCTGCCCGCGGCAGTGCGGGTTTGTCACGGCCCGGGCTGTCCCGCCGCGGCTCCCCCGTGCCTGTCCCGGCGGTGCCGCCGCCGCCTGCCCCCAGCGCCGGGCAACCCGCTCCGCTCGGGCATCCCGGGGCTACCGTGTCCCCGCTCCGCTCGGGCATCCCGGGGCTGCCGTGTCCCCGCTCCGCTCGGGCATCCCGCGGCTCCAGGGCTGCCGTGTCCCCGCTCCGCTCGGGCATCCCGGGGCTGCCGTGTCCCCGCTCCGTTCGGGCATCCCGCGGCTCCGGGGCTGCTGCGTTCCCGCCGCGGCAGCCACCGCGCGGTGCCGAGCGGCGCTGCCGGCCGGGGACAGCGGGGTCCGGGCGGGCTGTCCCGGCGCTCACATCTGGCGGCAGCCCGGGCAGGGGGTTCCCCCAGATGTGTGCGCCGGGACGGGGCCGGGCGGCCGCGGGGCTCCGGCGGAGCTCGGCGGGGCCGGGGCTCTCCCGGAGCTCGCGGCAGGCGGCGGCACCGCCGCGCCAGACTTCGCCCGCGGCGGCGAAACTTTTGCCGGCGGCGCGGCGCGGGTCCCCCGGCGGGCATCCCTCCCTCCCTCCATCCCTCCCTCCATCCATCCCTCGGCGGCGGGACAGCCTCCCGGAGCTCAGTCCCCCAGTCCCGGCCGCCCCTGTCCCGCTCGCACCTACCTTGGTGCCGCCGCTGTCCCGGCAGGAGGGAAGGGGCTCGGCAGCCCCGGCGCGCTGCGCTCCGCGCTGCTCCGCCGCCTCCCGCGGGAGAGCGGCTCCCTCGGCTCCCCGCGCCTCTGCCGCTCGCCCGGGTTGCATCACCCCCCTTTTATAGCCGAGCGGGCAGCGCTGGTATTTACTCTGGCGGCGAGTCCCTGGCTGATGTCATGCTATTAATAGCCTCTCCGAAAGAGAGGGAGGAGGGAAGCGGGCCGGGGCGGTGATGCAAGGCTTCCCCGCCGGCACGGCACGGCACGGCACGGCTCGGCACGGCACGGCACGGCACCACCGCGCCGAGCCGGGCCGAGCAGCAGCATCCCTCGGCACCCCGACTGACCCCTTCGCCTTCCCCCTTCACCACTCCCCCCTCTATTTATTTATTTATTTATTTATTTTTGTTAAGACTCCGGGAGTTTCCCCGGGCCATTTTGCTTCTGACAATAAATCAAAGTCCCTCTAGCGACAAAAAAAAACAAAAACCAAAACAAAACAAAAAAAAAAAAAAAAAAAAAAGAAAAGAAAAAGAGGGCAAAAAAAGTGGCAATTGTGTATTTTTCGAAAGGACTGAAAAGCGATCTTTCTCTAGAGGAAAATAAAAACGTTCGTGCCCCCCTGCCTCCCCCGTTTCCACCATTCTCCCTCCTCCTCCTCCCTCTACTTTAGATGACAGCAAAAAGTTCATTTCACATAAAGGAGAAAGCTTCGGTTTTTTACTCTGAGGAGGAAAGACCCGTTTAATTAAATTATAGAAAGCTAAAAATAGCACTGTTTGGGGTTTTTGTTTGTTTTGTTAGGGTATTTTTAAAAACTTTTCTTAAAACACAGCAGCATGCGATTTCCTTATGATCTTATGAAAAAAACAGGGGATTCCTACAGCACAGAGGGAAATATGGTTGTGGCTGTGGTAAAGGGACTTTTGTTTAGTTCTTTTTTTCCCTTCTGGTTTGTTAACAGATAGAAATTACCTTCTAACAATCTTCAAAGTGCTAGAAAATATGATGTTAAAAAACTCAAAAAAAACAAAAACAAAACACCAAAAAAAACTTTAGCTGGGGGAGACACAGAAAGCTTACAAAGACAGATGCATGGGATTATCCACTGCAATAATAATTCATTTATAACACATGCAAACTTGTTATTAAGCCGAAGAATTTTATAATGTTCAATATGCCAGTTTTGATAATAGGTAGTAAGTCTGGAGTGGTTGGGATATGTTAATTACTTGGAGTGTTTTGTCACGAATACAGATTAGTAGTAGAATAGTAGTTTACAGAATTAGTAGAATTGGGAATAGTAATTTGAAAGTCCCTCTGTATCTCCCTTCTGTGTGCATGTGGTTGTATGGATGTATATGTGTGTGTGTATATAGATAGATAGATAGATAGATATAGATAGATAGATATAATATTGGCCACACAGTCTGAGCAGTAAACTTAGGGTTTTTTAATGTCCAAGTGCCAGTGAATTAGCAAAATTAACCCTCCTATTTCACATTCAGGTACCTGCTCTGGAAAGAAAAGTACAGATGTGGTGGGAAAGGAGGGAGCCTGGAGCAGTGACGTGGGTTTCCCTCCCGTGGAAGGTGCAGTCGCACCCAGTTCTCTGCAAACAAAGAAGTGCATTTTGTGAGTGCAGCAGAGAACTCCTCTGACCTACCTGGCAGCTCTCCACCTACAGCTCCTGTGAGCTGCGAGCTTTTTTTCTTTTTCACTCACCTATAGATAAACCATTCTTAGCTCTATCAAAACATAGTTATTGCTGCATTTTTATTAATCTAGATAAATCAATGTCAAGTGTAATGCCAAGCAAAAACTTTGCTCTTGAAGGGTCTAGAGCAAGCTTTTTATTTCACCTTGGTACACCCTAATAAGTCTTTTTTACTTCAGAGGCACAATTTTATAATTCATGCTGTGCTCAAGGACAGCTGGCACCGTTTTTCTCAAGCCTAGAAGAAAAAAAAAATCCTCTCAAGCAGAAGCCAAATGTGGAAAATTTCTTCCCAAAAGATAGTTGGTTGGAAAATTTTAAGCACTGTGGAAATGTGTTAGCAACCTCGGTTTTAGTGGCCAAGAACAGGTGCCTGCTGCAATTATGACAGAAATTTAGTAACTGTCTGTCCTTATTTATTTAGGTAGCTGTATCAGAAGTGGGAATGTATTTAGAGTGTTTTCAGCTAAACAGAGCAGTGTTGCCGAATAATGGAAAAAAAAGCAGCTCTCTCCTTCCAAGTACCTTGGGAATCCAAGCGATGTTATCCAGTTGTGGATGGTCACTGACATCTGCTTGTTTGCTACACAGTGCTGGTCCCATTACTGCCCATGAGCTGCAGCCAGCACTAAAATCTGACAGCAAAGCAGTTGTGTTCATTCTTGAACCTCTCCTGAAGTGAGGCAGCTCCTCCCTGCAAAGCAAACAGAGAAACTGTTCCTGTGCGCATTTGAGATTAGGCCACTGAAACATGTCCTGGCTTGAAACTCTTCAGTGAAAAAAGAAAATGAAACCATAGTGAAAAATAAACCCAGCTCCATTGTGTCATATAGGTTTTATCCAGATCCCTTTTGAAACCAAAGTTTAGTTAATCTCAGTTGGATCACATCCCAGTTAAAAAAAATAAATGAAAAATTAAGACTATCGGGAAGTTAAAGTAGCACCCAGTACAGCCACCAGATGCTCTGATGTTCTTGCCAGTTTAATTTTCTGTCTCATAAAATGTCTTTCATTTGCCTCCCCCTGAACATTTACCAGTCCTTTTCCAATCCATGTCTCTCTTTCCTCACAAACTGCAGGGGACAGATCCCCTGCAACAGCATTTTTTTGACAGAGGTAACATCCATGTTCTTAACTTCTGTTTCCCTTAAGCCAGGTACACAGCCCATCACCCAGACTGATGGGCACAGGGTTCCCTTCCCTCTGCAGAGAAATCAGGCTGAATACCACCCCATGGTGTGGTCCTTGCAGCCCTCCTGCAGTCTCCAGTGTGGAGAAAAGAATTATTTCTTCCATCTCTTTCTAACCAAGTCCTGCCTCCACATCCCTTGACACTACTTCACACACTGTGGATATTTGATTAAAATGAAAATATGTCTTAATACTAAAAAGAGCTACAGACACCATCAGACAGAGGAACAGACCCCCCGTCTCACAGCAGAAACTTTCTCATGTCCTAACATTTATGCTACTGCAGGACATCAGTCAGAGCAACACAAATAAAATCTCCATGTATCATCCAGATCCTGGGTTGATTTCTGGTCACACAGTTCCATTAAACCTGTTCAGTCTGATGAAAATATTATGAGATGTAAATAAATCAAATGTGTAGTGATAACATGAGTAAAACCTGCCTCTCTGTGTGTTTTGTGGTTTGAATTGTTTACAGTTTTGAAATTACTGTAACCCCGACAAGACAAATCTTTCCCTGCACAGCACATATAAGAGAAATAGGTTTCCATAATTCAGAGTTATCACATGGTAAAATCTGGACATAATCAGGTTTTCTGACTCTGCCTGAAATATTCCTCTCTACTTCTGTGATGGGAACTAACCTTCATCATAATTTTTGCTATGTGGTACATTCAGGTCTGAATCTATGTGGCAGGACTCTCCTGTTCACCAAAACATGCACTAATTTTGAGATGATTTTCCCATCTGACTGGGCTAACACCAGGGCTGAAACCTGGGACTAGTTTTTCCAGCACGTGGGTTGGTACTGCTGGAACCATGGGAGCAGCCAGCAGCAGAAGGAGCAGCAGCACCTCCACCCAGCCCAGAGTTTTTCAGCAGCTGTCTGGGGATTCTCTGAGCATCTGTGGGCTGCTTCCAAGGCTTTCTCCAAAAAGTGAATGAAAAACCTCCAAGCCTCCAGGAGCAAGGACAAAATTCACTCTGGAAGGGTTGGATCTCTATGGATCTAAAAGGTCCAAAAATGGGAGTTAAAAACCACAGGGTTAGAGAATTGACTCTCACTGAGACTGTGTGGCAAACCCTGTCACTCTCTTACTTTTAATACCTCTCAAGCAGATGAGAAGATGAGCATATATTTTGTGGAGAGAAATAGGTGCTCTGTTTTAACAGCTTTTATTCTTTAACGCTGAAGATAAAATTGTTTTGCTTTTTGTTTTTCTCCCCACAGCTTACCTTTCTTTCCTTACTGCCTTCTCCATCACAATCCCTCTAATTCCATTTACTCTTCATTTATTCTGTCCTTTCAAAAATTCCATTTCCTGGTCTCTTTTGCTTTGATTCCATAAGTTACATTTCCCATTTCTTTAAAACAGCAGCTTCTCCTTTTATTTTGCCACTTCCTTGTTTCCACTCTTCTCACTTCTCTCTTTTCCCTCCCTGTGTCCTTGGAATTCATCAGTCCCCTTTTTTCTGTTCCTTTTTTCCTAGAATTTTTTTTTCCCCATTAATCCTTCTGGTTCTGCCTGGAAGCTTCCTAAATTTAAATGAGTAATTTTTGATTTCTCTTTTGCTTTCTGTCATTTTCATTTTTGCTTCTCCCTTAATGAAGGGAGATGAAGGCACTGATAATAACAAAATTACCACTGGGTACAACATGTACATTTCAGGATCAGATTCTGGGGCACAACATTATCACGAATTTTAGTGCAACTTTACTAAATTGAAGTTCCAGAAGGTTGTCAGCCATTGTTATAGGCAGAGTTTCAGAACTGTGGGGTGGAGGTGCAAGTTCTACAAACATCCATCCTCTCTAAGTGAGAGACAGCCCTGACACTGGCCCAGACAAGTATATCTTTAGTTCCCTTTTCCTGAAAGTTTTCAAGGCCTTTTTTTTTTTTTTTATTAGATGGACTTTGTGCACCAGCTGACAAGCTGGCAAAGCACAATAACCTGCAATTAAAATTTGTTCTCTTTGGATACATCCAGGCAATAAACAACAACAACAAAAAAAAAGTCCCACGTATGGAAGAATCACATCTTAAACCAGACTGAACACAGCAAACTCCTTGGCTTCACTGAACAAGCGAAAGAACAGGTCAGGTATATTAACTGCCCCCAGGCAGGTGCAAATTGTGTCTCCTACAGTGCCT